TTTTTGGGGTTAAAATATATAATAATAACATTGTGGGGCAGTTGATTGTATAAATTATATTGCGAGAGGATATCCCTAGAATATCTTGTTAAGATTCTCATAAATAATGTATCTCAGTAAATCATTATTTAATATGATCCGAAAGTACTTGAAAAGTAATATTGAAAATTTATATTGAAATCAGCAAAATGTTCTTAATGATTTATTGTATTTTGTACATAAGTAAATATACATACATGTATATATCTATAGATATTTTATCAAACATTAATTCTTATGTCTTTTCATTTAGCATTGCAGCAAATAATATATATAGCAAAAGATAATATTGCGGGTCATAGAATTCATATATGAAGAGGATTGTGCGATGTATATAGTTTATCCCACAATGCTCTATATATATGAATGTTTTGACCCACAATTATATACAACATTTTTAATATTAACTCAAAAATTATATTATATATTATATAAGGACCATATATAACGCCTAAATTATGAATATGGCATAGCTATGCAATGTAGAAATGCGAGATCCCACAAACCAGCTTAGAGGGTCGATGCCCACAAACAACCTCATATACCTATATATATATATATATATATATATATATATATATATATATATATATATATATATAAAAATCAAGGAAAAACAGAATTTATAACTTTTCTTTCTTAAATGCTTCACTAGCATCCAAAATAGATATTGGTTCAAAACGGAGATAATTCGTTTTTGTATTTCATTTTTTTTTTTAGTAAGAGGGATTCAAAGATGCCAAAAGAAGATAGCGGGGTTATGATGTAAATATTGCATTCTCATTATTTTTGTGTATTTTATTTTATTTTAATATTTTTCTTGTTCTGTTTTTTCTTGTTGAAAAAGATTAGTGGTTTCCAAAATAGAAATCATCCAAGTTTTTGTGTAATAAGTTATTGTTTCCTGTCAGTGTGATGGATTCTGAAAGATCAAAACAAGATAGACGGGTCATAATGTAAAATGTTTTTATCACTATTTGTTGTTGCTGATGATGTTGTTATTTTTGTTGTTGAAAAAGAACTTTGAATTCAAAATGGAAATACATGTTATCCATGTTTTTCTGGAAAAAAATATATATTATTATATTTTTTCACTTACAGTGCGAGGGATTCCGAGTAGCAAACACAAGAAAGAGGGGTCATGATGTAAATATTTAGTTTTTTTTTGTTGTTGTTATTTATGTTGTTGAAAAGGATAAATGATTTCAAATTCGAAATAATCCATGTTTTTGTTGTGATATTTTTTTTCCTTTCAGTGCTAGGGATTTTGAGACAAAACAGGATAGAGGAGTCATGATTTAAATATTGTTTTTTTTTCATGATTTCTTGTTGCTATTGTTGTTTTTGTTGAAAAATAGCTTTGAATTCAACATGGACATAAATGTAATCCGTGTTTTTGTGGAAAAAAAAAATATATTTTTTTCCTTTCAGTGCGAGGGATTCCAAGGGGCAAATGAAAGAAAGAGTGGTCATGATGTTAATATACATCTTTATATTATTATTTATATTGTTGTTGAAAAAAGATAAAGAATTCAAATTGGAAAAAAATCCAAATTTTTGTTGTAATACTTTATATTTTTTTTTATTTCAGTGCGAGGCTTTCTGAGATGTCAAAACAGGGTAGAGGGGTCAAGATGTAAATATTTTTTATCGTTATTTGTTGTTGCTGATGATGTTGATGCCTAAAAGGAGTTTTGAATTCAAACGGAAAATACAGGTTACCCATTTTTTTGGTAAAAAATGTATATTGTTACATTTTTTTCCCTTTCAGTGCGAGGGATTCCGTGGGACCAAAACAAATAGAGAAGTCTTGATGTTAATAAAAGATTTTTATTTTACTTTTGTAAATCTATTTATTTCTTTTTTATTTATATATTTATTTTTTTGTGTGTTGTTGTCGTTGTTACAAAAAAAAATAAATAAATAACAAATATAACAATTCTTAATTTCCCCTTTGTATGTATTTCATCTGAAACTTTTTTTTATAAAAAAAATTCTATGTAACGAAATGCTATTATATTTTGTTTTCATTTCAGAGCTAGAAAAGTCAAAAAGACGCCCAATATGCAAGTCTTGGGTACGAAATGAAGTTAGTTGACATGGCGAGCGTTGGGGCTGCAATTCAAATTATGAATTGATGTTGACTGCCCCAATGCTATTTACTTGATATTTACAATAAATTCATATTTACAGAGCACTGTGTCGAGCAATGAATTTTGATGTGCTTTAATTACTGTTACCAAAAAATAAAGAAATATTTAAAATCAGTGTTTAATATCAAAAGATACATGTACAGGGGAATATTGTATGTATAAGTTATCAATAATATGAATACATCACACAAAATACCACATTTTACAACAATATGAAAATTACTTTGGATTATCTTCAATTAATTTTTTAATTTTCAAAAGATATATTATGACTTAGGCTTCTTCTGATGGAAAAAAAATACTCGGGTTTGAACTATCTTTATAATTAGATATATTCGATAAATATTTCTTTTCAAAGGGGACTTCACAGCAGATCTAAACTTCCCGTCAGGAACTTCTGTTCTCAATAAGGTTTTTGATCTATGTTTTCCATGTAAGGGACCGTTCAAGGTAGCTCAGTCGGTAGAGCGCTCGCTCCGTGATCGGGAGGTCGTGAGTTTGTATCTCGGCTGCGACTGACCTAGTCGTTAAAATGGGTAGCAACTGTTTCTTCGCCATGCACTCGGCACTTTGAAGTGAAAGTTTGGGGTCCTTCGGATGAGACCTTAAAAACCGAGGCAAGCGTTGGCACGATAAAGATCCCTTACTGCTCAATGGCCCTGAGTGCCGAGTAAAGGTCAAAATTTGAAGCCCTTTACCGGCATACGGTGACGTCTCCATATGAGTGAAAAATTCTCAAGAGGGACGTTAAACAATATACAATCAATCAATCCATGTAAGTATTGTTGTAGTAAAGTATTAAATCAATCTTATAATTTATTTTTATATATTATCTGTACTTGTATTGTGTAAGATAATATGTGAACGTTTCGGATTAAGCGGCTTTAAGACCAAGGAGTAAAAAAACTCAGAGTTGAAATTCACTTATTATAAGATATGTGCAGTTACCATGCGCTAAAGTACAGGTCGACTGATGCTTGTTTGCATACAGTACTCTTAAGACTCAGTTTTTTATTTTTCGATTAAGTAGCAGCTGCATTGAAAAGTAAAGGTATACTTTAGGTACCTGAAATCCAAACAGGTAATTGCAATTTTTTAATCATCAAAGAGATTGCAACAAGTTCCTCATCCATATCCGGATGTCCCGATAACGCAACCATTTTCATTACTTTTCGACTTGAGTTGGATCAATTAGTGGCTGAAAGCAATGTTATTAAAAGATGCACTTAACTGAAGGTCAAAGGGAAAGCGTTATGTTATTATTATATTTCCTTTGCAAGGTTCGATATAATCAGAGCGGAATTTATTTTCATCGTCAAGATTTGTAGATGACAACCAGGATTAAAACTTGTAAATCCACATCCGGCAAAAGGAAGATCACTCGAAAAAATCGGAGGTGGTATCAAGCATCTTCTTTTTATAATATATTTTTAGAGTTAAAATAGTTTATCAAAAAAATGGAACCTGTTTTTATTAATTGAGAAATATTCCTTATCTCAATGGATTTCTGATAACCAAGTCTCTGAGTAGACAACACAATAAAAGGCTACCATTTTTTGCAAGAGACATATCTTTAACGCAACAATATACATATGTATACCTACAAGCTATTTAAAGCTCGGTGCACATCAACATTACCGGTTAAGTACAATTGCCATTTAAAGATCACCTAAGAAATATTTGTTTTTTAATCATGTTTACCTGTGTTATTACACAACCCTTACATCTACTTCCTTGTTTTCAAAATGGTTGCCATATTCTGTGTGTGTTTTCTATTGCTGTTTGCTGCTGGATATTGTTACCGTATGTAAATTTGTTTCAGTTTAGATAGATTTGATAATACTACCTGTATTTATAAATATTTCAGACTCTTTAACTGATAGCTGTCAAAATGATTTACTTTTAAAAAGTTTAAAAAGGAACAAGTAGGTTTTCCATTGAAAGCTATCTATGTTTTTCTGAATGCAGATATCATTGCAATTTTTTTTAATATATTTTAGAAATAAACTTGAATACAAATGTATAACAATTCATAATACCTTATATTTTCCATTCGCAATAAAGTTGGAAGGGATATAGAGTAACGCAATTTTGTTTAGTTGTCAACGAGTGAGTTAGTGATCATGATAACGGGATCAATGTATTGCGAAATGATTCTCCCAAGAAATACATATATTGATATATAATAAATTAGAGGACATAAAATGAAAGTAATCTAAAAAAATAAAACATAAGTCATCTCTGGGCAATATTTAAAAAAAGATCACTATGTAATACATGTAATAGAAAGTCTAACAGAATGTGGAGGGTAAATATAAACTTTTCAGATATTAATTAACTTTTATTTAAGGACAGATGATACAAACAACTTTTATCTTTGGAGGAGATTTTTATCATGTCACAAGTTAAGAAAAGTGGATAATTCTTAGAGTTTTTTTTCTCCTAGGAATTGAAAAACGAAATAGACTTGGGTACAGTCCACTAATTGTTTTCCCATAGGCGACAATGTTAACGTTTCTTCTCATAGCGATGTCCCTAATGTTCGTTCAGAAGGGAGTGACCCCTCAAATCAAAGCACATCAACTTGTCTTTCCTTGGTTAAAATCTCGAGGTGGCATGTCAGATTCGTTTTCCGGCAAAATGCGTCTCTCTGCGGGAACCTCTAAAAATGAAAGTGAAAGTAGGGGGATTTCAGAATTCTCACTGGCGTTATAATACACAAAATGATTCGGCTGATCTTCTTGATAAATTACATTTTCAAAGCTTTTTTGGTAGGAAAGATACTCCTTATCAACAAGTGTGAGGCTCAGTTCAGTACACCTGCCCAATTTTTTTTATGCAAGTCTGCAATTTAAGGAACTTGTAATTTTTTCTGCACTACTTTCTTCTCCTACCGATTCTAAAAATAATTAGTGGGATGTACCCAATATGAAAAAGCATTTTTTTGATTTTACAATATTTCACACTGTTTGTCAATCTAGAGCATAAGTAGAGACATCATGCCAAGTTTCATGAAAATTCAACAATTAATTAAGATTTTACAGCATTTACAGTTCTATATGTAATATCCTTAAAAAATGCTCCAATCTAGCCAAAACTGCACCCAAGTTTTGAGTCAAATTTTAGCCTATTAACACATGTATACCATTCTTAATCACCTTCATATCTTTAAATACATATAGTCAAATCATAATCAAGCACTTCATTGGGTCAATTTCACTTATTTTAAAAAATTAAAGTATTTCCGCACAAAAATGACCACTTTTCACCCTCTAATTCATAGTTTCTCCAGAAATGACAAAAAAATGAAGTTCACAAATACCCCGAAAGTAGTAAAATAAAAAAGTACTGATTATTTCCTGTCCATTGATGCATCATTCATGAAATTTGGACTATGAATGAAAAAGTTATAAGCCTTTATAATCCTATATAGAATCATTTGTTTCAAAGCAATTTTTATACCAATGCAAATTTACTCATCTATGACGTCACAATGACATCATAATAATGGATAGCTCAATACATGTGTATCATTACTTTTCCCGTACTTTTCATTTAAGACAAAATCAGTGCTTATATACTATTATTTACATTAAAAAATAAAAATATGTGGTGTTGCAGATTAAATAAATAGTTCACTAAAGTTGTTTTGTTTCCATGGTAACCATTTTGTAATTTGTACGAAAATGAGACAAAATTTTGAATTTCCTGACAAATCGCATAATCAAATATTCATGAAATTTCAATTCTTATATCCGTGTAATCTTAATAATGCATAATTTACACAACAAAGATGTAGATCTAATTAATTTGAAATCTTAAATAAAAAAAGAAAATCTATATGAGCTGCAAAATGTATATAGCAGTGCATGTACAGATTAGTTATAGCTAAATACTTTCACATTCTGATCACCTATTTAATATGTAAATTTCCTCACCCCCACCCCATCCCCCTACTTCAATGATTTTTTTTTTCTAAAAACTTAAACTTACATATTTTGCCGACTGTCACATTTTGCTGGTTCTTTTTCAAGATGTATTCAAATGGGTGTGCATTTGCTGGCCAATAGTTTTAAACACCATCTGCATGGACCTCATGTTTTTCCTGTACCAATCACCACGAACCTAAAAAAAAAATCAATACAATAAATGGTACAATATCACATTTGCAGACAGACAGACACACAGACATTCAACACGTACAATTTTACCATATTCCTTTTATGCTCATTACTTGAAATCAATTAATTTAAAAAATGATTAATTTGCTCCCACCTGAAATCACACTGTTTACATTAGTAATTAAGTTAATTCAGCAGAATTGGTAAAAATCATGTTTTACTGACAATAATTGAACATTCAACAAATACATGTAATGCAATTGCTAAAAAATATGAGAAAAATCAGTTGATGTGCATGTTCACACACATCGTTTAACTCCCAGACAACTGTATACCCAGCTTGACCGCGCAACTGATCTGAAATGATGTATGTCAAGTATGCATATGTGACGTGCCGATCATCGACATGGTCCAAAAACATTAAAATTGTTATTTACAAATATTGTACTAAGGTATACCTCTTACCTCCTGTATAAAATACAAATGCCCATCACCTATATACTGCTTAACACTGCCTGAACAGTTTTGATAACTTTCTGCTAAGTCTACTTTCACTTCGACCTTGACCCCGATTGAATACCGATCCCGAACTCATTTGTGAATTTTTGTGTATTGAAAATAAACCACAGTGCACAGTGGAGCATGTACTTCTACATAATTGCTTCTTAATCAAATTATACATTTACGATTCTGAATAAATAAATTATATAAACCGATACATTTAATCTACATGATACATGTGTAAACAATGGGTGATACATGTTGACTGTTCCGGGGGGGGGGGGGGGATAGACACTTTATTTATGAATCAATTTGTTTAAAAATGTGTATCAACAATATAATAATTGTTTTTTTCATAAATTTGAACAATTGAAAATAATAGAAAACAACAACTCTGAAATAAATTCAAGATTTATGACATCTATCACTTACTTATAGGCTTCCTAATATGGGTACAGTCCACTAATTGTTTTCCCATAGGCGACAATGTTAACGTTTCTTCTCATAGCGATGTCCCTAATTTTCGTTCGGTAGAGAGTGACCCCTCAAATCAAAGCACATCAACTTGTCTTTCCTTGGTTAAAATCTCGAGGTGGCATGTCAGATTCGTTTTCCGGCAAAATGCGTCTCTCTGCGGGAACCTCTAAAAATGAAAGTGAAAGTAGGGGGATTTCAGAATTCTCACTGGCGTTATAATACACAAAATGATTCGGCTGATCTTCTTGATAAATTACATTTTCAAAGCTTTTTTGGTAGGAAAGATACTCCTTATCAACAAGTGTGAGGCTCAGTTCAGTACACCTGCCCAATTTTTTTTATGCAAGTCTGCAATTTAAGGAACTTGTAATTTTTTCTGCACTACTTTCTTCTCCTACCGATTCTAAAAATAATTAGTGGGATGTACCCACTGGAAAATATAATATTTCAATCAAATTATAAAAATGGATAAAACACACTCATTAAAGGTTTACAGATGAAAATGAATTTCAAAATATGTAGCTTGGTGCTAAATATGAAATATAAACTTTTGAAAAATATGCCGAGCCAGGTGAATTTTATGAGGAAAAGCAAAATTGTTAAAAATCAGTCCAAATGATATGGGGTGATTTATACTATTTTGCTTTTCCTGATAAAATTCACCTGGCTTGGTATATGTTTTCAAATGTTTATAATACATTCTAAGAATCAAGCTAACATATTCTGCAATTTGTTTTCAGTTGTAAACCTTTACTGAGTGTGATTTGTCTAAATTTGTTTTTTTTTATTGAAATATTAGTAATACTTTACAAGTCTATTTCATTTTCGAGTCCTTAGGAGAGAAAAATCTAAGAATTATCCACTTTTTTCTAAACTTGTGCCATGATACGTAGTCTACTCCAAACAAAAAAAAATGTTTGTGTCATCTGTCCTTTATCAGTATTAAAAATCCTTTTTTTTAAATTTAATTATTCAATAAAAACCTTTATTAAAAGATAAAGAAAATGTTTAGAACACATTTATCGGAATATGTTGGGACCCGTTGTTTAAATCAGCAGCGCTTTCCTCTCTCTCTTCCCCTCAAGTCTACTGTTACGAAGTACATTGAAGTTAAAAACAATAATGTTAAGTCTTTTTTATGTTTTAAATAGCTGTATTCTAGAACAATTTTTGACTTCCAGTATGCTAACATTATCATCATATTTTTAATCTTGCTACTTGAGCATGGATTGTTCGTCATTTATTTGGATGATAAGATACCTCCTTTTTAACTTTTTGACTAAATGATATGCAAAAAGGGGATGTGTAAGCGGTCGTAAAGCGTGTGAAAAGCGCAAATGACAAAAAAAAAAAAAAAAAAAAAAACAGAGCTTGTCAATCATGCTCTACATAATTGGTTTAATAAGTATTACTTCGCGATACCTCTTACACTCTATAATTAGCAGCCACGTGTTATATATACTAGTAGTAGTATGTGTCTTTTATTAAACAAGCAGAGATCAAATCTGTTTGAAGAAGGATATGGAGACAACGAACAGTATTCAATCTCAAAGTCCATAAAACAATATAAAATAAGAGCAGAGCAAACACGGTCCCCCGAAAATCATAGGTGGGATCAGGTGCCATGGAGGAGTCGGCATCCCCTGCTGACCGGTCAACGCCGTGTGCTCCTTGTCATGATCGGGAAAAAGCGGAAAAATCCAT